TGCTTGCATGATTTTGCCCATGGGTCCACTCTGGGCAACAGAATCTTCAATACAAGATTTAGAGGGATTATATGTAGAAATATATGGATAACTATATGCAGATTATCTTTAATTTAGGACTTTATAAAGATAGAAATACTTTTCATTTACTATTTCATCATTTATTCATCTACTTCATTCATTCATTAATTCATCAAGTATTTATTCAATAAGAATGTATTGAGTTTGGCTATGGTTTGGTTATGGGTTTTTTGTTCCCACCAAACTCACATTGAAATCTGATGTTTGTGTGGTGCTGTTGGGAGGTGGGGCTAGCAGGAGGTGTTTTGGTTGTGAGGGCAGATCCCTTAGGAATGGCTTGGTGCTGTTCCTGCAGTAGTAAGTTCTCGCTCTTGGAGACTGGATTTGTTCTTGTGGGAATGGATTAGTTCCCTCGAGAGTGGGTTGTTAAAAAGCCAGGATGCTCGTTAGGTTTCTAACCTCTTTATACTTGTCCACTTCCCCTTTGACCTTCTCTGCCATGTTATGACACCGCCTGAAAGCCCTCGCACCGACGTGGGAACAAACAAACTATACCCAGCCTCAGGTATTCCTTTATAGCAATGTAAAACTAACACAGTATCCCAAAAGTTTTTGATAAGATTGTTGGGAAAAACCCTTTCTACAAAAAATAGTAACACTTGAGGTTAGACTTAATGGAGCAGCAGGAGCCAGCCATGTGAAAAATCTGCAGATCCCAAAGTCCCGGACAGGGTTTTCGATTTGACATGTATGAAGAACACAAACATGGCTTGAGGTACACAAGATATATTCCATTACTGTAGAACTAGCCAAGCGAGACCAGTAAAATTTAAAATAATTACAATAAAATAAAATACAAAAACTCAGTTCCTCAGTGGCACTAACCATGGTTCAAGTGTTCAACAGCCATATGTGCTTAGTGGCTACATACTGGAAAGCACAGAGTCCATTTCCATCACTGAAGAAAGTTCTAGTAAGTAGTGCTGCACTAGTGAAGGAAGAGCATTGGAACAGGAAGAGGTCAGAGAGAGTGGCTTGGAAAGATCATGAAGGTCCTTGCAGGGGTCATGAGGACTTTGGATTCCACAAGTGTAACGGGAAGCCTTTGGATGGTTGTAAGCAGCGGAGGGACATCATTCAATTTACATTTTTAAACCATAACTCTGCTGTGTAGATGAATTATAAGGAGGGTAAGACCAGTTAATTATTGCATTTGTCCTGGCTGGGGATAATGATGAGTCTTTGGTAGGTTATTATGAGAGGGATGGTGGAAAGTAAATGGATTCAGGATATATTTTAGAGATAGAATCAAGTGGATTTGCTAATAGACTGATAGAGAGAGACAGAGGAAAGAATCAAGAGCAATGCTGGCTTTTGGGACTTGAGCAACTAGGTAGAAAGTCATGTTTTTTTACTGGGATAAGAGAAGAAGACTAAGGAGGAAGAGTTTGGGTGGGTAGTGGGCAGGGGTTGTAGGGAGGGAGTTGGAGAGATTTTGGTTTGTATACAATATATTTTAGGTACCTATTGGATATAAATGCATAGAGGTCAGGTATGTAGTAGAGAATGAATGAACCCATACTATGGAGTGTCAACTTTTTGAATTTTATAGTAGAGTTTCTTTAAACCTAATTGTATTTGGTAAAGTACAAATACAATGGGGTTAATTTCTAGACCCTCTTTCCAAAGAGCTAATAAAAACACATTAGCTAGATTTGGCCAAGTGGAGAGTTTTATCAGGGAAAATTTGAATTTTTCTTTCTCTTGTCCAAACTCCATTATCTTTCTGTGTGTCCAACAATTTCCTTATTGTTTGGCCATGTTTTCACTTTCTTCAATTAGGACTCATCACTATCTGCCAGAAATGAGCAGGATTTACATGTGACTGCTCCGTGTCCACTGTATGTATCGCAGTGTTTATGCACCTTGTTAGTCACTGCTTTTACTATAGCCCTACAGCTCTGTGTCTCTCCAACATGAGCTTTTTGTTGTTTTTGTTCACCTGCCTCTGGATTCTGGATGGTAATGGGGAGAAAAATTTACCTTCTTTCCCTTTGGTGGACAAATAACTTTCTGATTATGATTTTTGTTGGAAATGGGAAGAAACCTGGATGCCAGGACATTGCCTTTGTTATACTATTGAACAGCTCCAGGATGTCATTGTTTAACATGTGAACCTAGTATTCTTATTCACAAATAATGGCAGATACCTTTTTTTTCTGTTACAACTTTAAAAAAATGTCTACTTTCCATCCCTTAAGAGTCCAGTTTTCATGGTAATATTTATCATAGTATCTTTTCTAAAGAACTGAACTAATTGTTGGGGTAGAAGACAGAGAAAATTAAAATTTTGTAAAATTTCCCTTACTTTGCTTTTCTTTCTAACCTTGGTATATGCCCCAATTTTTACAGTTTTTCCTTTTAATATGCTATTTTTGGTGCCAACAGATATTAACATGATTTTCCAATCAAGGTTTTTCACTCTGACGTGTTCCAGGTAGGATCTGGCATATGAATCATATGTCTAAAAAGGAAACTCATGGAAGTATGTGTGCATGCTAGGGGGCTCATTTGTCTTTGGCAAAGACATTGCTGCTCCTGTTCCCTTAATTATTAAACAGATGGTGCCCACTGCCATTGACTAGCTGCCCAACTTGTACTCCTGTGTGTTAGCACAGTGCTGGACATCTGACAGAGAGAAGCTGTACCATCACAGCACCTCATCTCCACTTATGTCATAATATTAATACCTGATTCTAACTAGAGCAGGCTGTTTCCCATGAAGCTATGTCGAAAACTTGAGTCATCTTCTCCCCTAACTCCCATGAATTAATTATTTTATCTCAAATATCTCCTTCTGGCTTTTTTTTTTTTATTGCTTCACTTCTACACACAAAGTACAGTGGCATATTGAACCAATTATCCAAATCCTCCGGGCTATAAACACACTTTAACCCGGAATGTCAAGATAATTAAGACAAAATTGGATTATTATTAATATTATTAGTGAGGGCAAATGACATCTAAGATAGCCATATTAAAACGGAACAACGGTGGACTATCATATTCTTGTTTCAGTTTAAAAAAGACACTAGCTCCCAAGGAACATAGATGGAGTTTTTTAAAGTCCATCGAACACACTGAACACATACTGAAATATTTTTCATAATCTGCCAAAAAAAGTTAACTTGAAAATTTTCCTTTAGTTTCTTAAACACATTACTACAGCACATGTACCTGCAATCATTAATAACTAGGATCCTGATTATTTTTTCTCATATGTTTTTTTCTTTGTAGATGTAATATTTCACAGCCATAATCAGTCTTCTAAGACCTTTCCTAGTGTTAACCCCCCTATCCTCACCTCTTCCTGGAGATATTTCTTTATATTATGTTCTGATAAACTATCTGGGCTTTTTAACTTTATAAATCTTTTTGAGGACATGGTCACTTAATGTAATTTTACCATCCACAGTCAAAAATTGATGATTAATACTTATACCCTGGATTTAAATGAATGCTGTCCCTCTCCCCCTTCTCTTTAATAATTCTATTGTGTTCTGGATAACTCTGAGATTCTACCATCATTTGAACCAACAGGACAGGCTTGGGTTCTCTGTTGAAAACAGGCTTTCAAGCAGGAGCAGCTAAAGCATTACAATGCCACCTGAAATTGGTTTGCTGTTGTACCTGACTTGAGAACCTATGAACATTTTTGAATCACTCAGACAGCAGACGTGGCTGTCAATTTCAATGACAGTAGGAAGTACGTTGGCTCCCGTGGCCTGCCAAGTAGCCAAGTACAATCTTTTTGTTCCAAAGTCCTGGGAAGCACAGACTCAGGGCCAGCCGCAGACCCCCACACCCCTCGGCTGCTGCGAGCTGGACCCGCCCAGCAGCCCCTTCCCCTGCACGTAGGGTGCGGGGGTCGCTCTCCCGGAGAAGGAGCATTGGAGCTAAGAGCAGCGCCTCCTCCGGGGCAGGAGGCGGGAGCTCGGCTGAGGAAGCTTTCCTAGGGAGTTGCCTTAAAGAAAGCAAGCAAGCGGAATTGTCGATCGCTCCAGCTGTCTGTTTTATACAGTTTTAAGCAGCCATCTCCACTCGCTTCCCTTCTGCAAAACTGTAAATCACCACCAACCTTGCACCAACAAGGAGGAGGAGGGAAAAAAAAAACACAACAAACCAAATCTCCTTCTCCCTTCTCACCCTCCCTTTCCTCTCACCCTCCCTTCCTCTCCTGCTCGTTCCCTCTCCCTCCCTCCCTTCTCCTACGGCTGCCGCTCGTCTCTCGACCTGTGTCTCTCTCCGACGGGACTTAGCAACTTTGATTATTTCTCAGCCCCTCTTCCATTTTTTCCCACCCTTTGCCATGAACTGGACCGACAGACGGGGGGGAGGCTCTGCTCTCTGCCCCAGGGAATGGCGATTCGCGTCCTGGGGCCGTACCGGGGAGGATCGGCCGAGGAGAAAGAAGGAGTGATAGAGAAAGAGCTGCAGGAAGGAAGAGAAGGGAGCCCTCCATCTGCCGCGGGCCCGGCGCGCAGCAAGGCAGCGCGGAGCTGCGTCCGGAATGGCCCCGAGCTCGCCCTGCGCCCCCGGCTCCTCCAGAGTCAGCAGCCCCTGTGCGCGGAACGCATTGGGCAATTTTTAAAATCCTGAAGTAGGAAGAGACCCCGGAGGATATAAGTCGGGGGTGGGGCTGGAGCAGAGAATTTGAAAAAGCCATTCAAAGAGAGAAAAGGGGAAGCCTGATCGTTTCTGCCTGTGCTAGCTTTTAACTTGAGCATGCTAGCTCTTAACTTGAAGAAGTCTCTTTGGAGCATCTAGCATTCTCCCGGAGTTACTCGAAAGCTGAAACTTTCAGTGGATTGCGGGCCTGGGGACAAGCAGGAGGGATTCCGAGGGTGGGACCGGGAGAGCGTGTGTGTGCGCGCGTGTGGGTCGGAGAGCCACTGGGGATTCGGTGAAGAGGGAACACCATGGCAGTGCCCGGCGAGGCTGCACGAGCCAGGGACAAGCCCGGCCACGGTGGGCTGAGTCAAGCCCCCGCAGCGGGCCGGGACTGCCGCCGTTGTGCCGACCCCGCATCGCCGCGGGGCTCCGACTGCCGCGGCTGCTGGGGAGACCTGGTGCTGCAGCCGCTCCGGCGCTCCCGGAAACTTTCCTCGGCTCTGTGCGCGGGCTCCCTGTCCTTTCTGCTGGCGCTGCTGGTGAGGCTGGTCCGCGGGGAGATCGGCTGTGACCCGGAGCAGAGTAAGGAGGCGGCGGCGGAGGAGGAGGAGGAAGCAGCCGGGAGAGCAGAAGGGGGCGTCTTCCCGGGGCCTCGGGGAGGTGCTCCCGGGGGCGGCGCGCCGCTCAGCCCCTGGCTGCAGCCCTCGGCGCTGCTCTTCAGTCTCCTGTGTGCCTTCTTCTGGATGGGCTTGTACCTCCTGCGCGCCGGGGTGCGCCTGCCTCTGGCCGTCGCGCTGCTGGCCGCCTGCTGCGGGGGGGAAGCGCTCGTCCAGATTGGGCTGGGCGTCGGGGAGGATCACTTACTCTCGCTCCCCGCCGCGGGGGTGGTGCTCAGCTGCTTGGCCGCCGCGACATGGCTGGTGCTGAGGCTGAGGCTGGGCGTCCTCATGATCGCCTTGACTAGCGCGGTCAGGACCGTGTCCCTCATTTCCTTAGAGAGGTTCAAGGTCGCCTGGAGACCTTACCTGGCGTACTTGGCCGGCGTGCTGGGGATCCTCCTGGCCAGGTACGTGGAGCAAATCTTGCCGCAGTCCGCGGAGGCGGCTCCGAGGGAGCATTCTGGGTCCCAGCTGATTGCTGGGACCAAGGAAGATATCCCGGTGTTTAAGAGGAGGAGGCGGTCCAGCTCCGTGGTGTCCGCCGAGATGTCCGGCTGCAGCAGCAAGTCCCATCGGAGGACCTCCCTACCGTGTATACCGAGGGAACAGGTAAGCACTAGGCTCTCGGGGAAACTTGAAACACTTAGAAACCGCCGCAAAGTGGAGGGAATCCGAGCGCTTGGGAACTAAAGGGAAGATAGGCTAGAAAAGTGGTATAATTGAGACTGAATAAGAAATAGTGGGTTTCTCTCTCCCTTTTACACAGTATTTTATAACTTGGACAACTGAAATACGAATAAGTAACAAAACTAGGTGGTATTTGCAGGGTCTTCCACAGCTGAACTAACTTTGTAGATCTGCTGCACCTGGTGTATGGCTTCCCTACACTTTCAAGTACGCTCACACTTTCCTCCCTTACCAGAAATTTTAGAACTTAGTTTTCTAGCAGTGGGTGATTTTTCAATACGTGGATTTTACTAGATTTCTAATTCTTTCTATAAAATTTCCTTCTTATTACGTGATAGATAGGTAAACATTTATGAAAACCAGTAAAAAGATTCTAGAGCAAAGCAAGGCATGCTTAAAGGTGAGGTGTTGATACACACTCTCTGGTTTTGCAATAAGTTTTATTTTGAGAGACTGCAACTGGTGGTGTCCAATTTGTTTTTAAACATTGTTTAGTGGTATACAGTATTACATGCTGGTGTGTTTGTATCATAATCATAAACTTCAATTTGAGGAATAGTATGTCTGAACATCAGAACTGTTCAAAAAACTGTGCTTTAGTGTCAACTGAAAACATTTCTCTTGAGTATGTGCACATTGAAGTGGATATTTAGAAAGTCAAGCGGATTTATACAGGTTTTACAGGAAATATTAATTTGGGAGAATATTGCTGGTGATCTATGTCTTTCAGAAAGGAGGAAGAGGAGGAGGAACCTGGAATTATGAGTGAAGTTGTAAATAAAAGTTTAGCCAGTTTGGGAGATAAATCTCATTATTGTTATTAAACATTTTAAGACCATGGGATAGTTGCTATAAAGACCATAAAAAAAACAAATCCCAATTTTAAATACAAATTGTATGTGAAAAAGCATTCTTAAGCGTTCACCTCCCTGCTTGAAGCAGATTTGACACTTGATGGTGGTAGGAGGGAGCTGGTTATGTATACAGCAAGTGGAAATTTACACTTTTCCCATGTAAATTTATGTCTAACTATGGTACCACAAGGACAGTTCTAGGGAGTTAGGGAATATCCTAAGATATAGTAAGCTTTTTCTTTTGAGGTTATTCTGTGGATAATCATTTAGGTGTTCCTAAGAAATAGCAGTCACCATATGGTGTGGGTGCTAGTTTGTTTCTGAAATGAAGTTGATTACACAGATCTGTGGTTGTTTGACATTATTTAGCAGAATAGATGACAGCGCCATAGTCTCTGTGTTTATTTTAAAACAAATGTACTTATTTAGCGTTTTGTTTAGATAAAATAAATGTTTCTTGGGTTTAAGCTTACTCTAAGAGTGAAGGAAAAAAAAGGCCATTGACTGATACTTAGTTTTGGGAGAAATTTGAAAATCATTGAAACAAAGTAAAACTATCTATTTAAGGGTAAACTAAAGATTTTAATTTTTTTTCCCACAGTTACAGGAGAGAATGTCTTTTAAATGAAAACACCACTGCTTTAAAATGTTTAGAACAAACTATTCCTTAACTTACAGGAAAATGTGATATGACTATTGCAAAATTGAACCATAATTCTTAAGGAAAATCTGGGATTTAATGGTAAATAACTTGACTCCAAATTCATATTATTTAGCCTCTGTAATTAAATTTCTGAAATATTATATTAATATTTAGAAGTTAGGAGTTAAGGGTGGATTTACGATAAGAAGGTGTTTAGGTGAATTAACCAGCAGTGTTAATTAACCTGGAAATATTTATTGGTTTTCTCTGGTTTAAATTGATAAATGGAGAATTTGAATTATTTGCAAACTTATAAGAAAATAACTGAGCATTGCATTTTTAAATGTGTTGCTGATTAATGCTGTTGAAAAATGCATATTTATAATATATTTGGTAATTCTTTTCAGTTACTTTTTTTTAAAAGGCTGTGTAAATGAAAAATATTCTAAAGGGAGACTTTCTCTCTAATGTTTGATGGAATAACAATGATATATTTAGCAGAAATTGAAATCCTTGAAGTTTTAATAAGGGCGTGGGTGATTGTATGCGTGTCACTGAAGGCTATTTTTTATATATGACCCATTAAAGTTGTTGCTGAGCATAATTGTGGGGAGTGGGTGGGAACTGACACGGAATAGTATATGATAGGGCAATATCCCATGCCTAACTGTGTGAAAAGTTCAGGAGCTGTACAGTAAATGCTTATCTGTTTTATCATAAGGAAACAAACTTCTGATTAAGGGTGCAAAGTGTACTGTGTCATTTCCATACTTTACAAAGTCAAGAATCAAAATAATTGTGAAACAAGTATAACACTCCTCTGCATGCTGCCAGATTAGTTGATTTGTTTTGTTTTCTGAAAGAATGTCTGCCCTCAACTCAAGACAGTACTCACAGGCAACAAGTGAATTTTAAATAGTAGAGCTCAGAGAGTCTGTCAGTGATCTCTCGAAAATTTATGTGGACTTTGCTCATTGTGAGATTTAAAGGTGAGAGAATTTAACATCATTTTCTCTGTATGAATGACAGTGGCCACTTGCTTATGAACTACCCTCTTAAATGGCTCTTAATTCTAAAAATACAAAGAGACTATATGACAAAATTCTCATAACACAAACCAATTGACATACATTTCCCCCTCCTCCTCTCTCTCTCCTTTCCTTTCTTCTCCAGAACTATAAGTCTGTAGCACTGGTGTGTCTGTGAATGCAAGTGAAGGTATCTTTACTCTCAGTATATAACAAAGTTTATAGAACCTGCATGGCTTTTATTAATAGTTTAGTCCTGCCAGCCCAGTATCCTCAATACTGAATGTGTTAAACTGTAAATAAATGTGTTAAACTGTACTTTTTTGGCTGACAGTATTAAGAAGGTGAGTGTCCATTAAGGTGTATATATCTTCAAGTAGACTTTCATATCTGAGACAAGATATATCTCTCTCAAGTTACCGCTGTATCCCCCGCCCCCACCAAACACAAATATACAGAAGTACCTGGAATTTCTTGAATTATTAGATATTATACATGATTAATATGTTATTTTTCAACATAATATGCAATTTTAAAACATGTGGAAATTGTATTTGAAGGGGTGTCTCTTCTCTTTATACATCAAAGAGTACAATTGGTGATGGCATTCCTCTCTAATAACTGTGGCCACCTTACACATTCACTTTTGAAAGATTCCAAGCCAATGCAATTTTATTTTAGTTGTTAAGAAGAATTTAATATTTTTACCTATGATTTCATATAAAAATAAACATAAAGCATATGATTCTCTCCATTAATGCATTTGTACCACTTAATGACAAAATTCTTCGGGATGGTACAACATCAGTCAGAAGTATATGTTACATATGTTGCATTATGTGAGTAAAAACCAAAACTGTTTTCTATAAATATTTTCCCTAAGCTCTTAAACATCTTTAGCAAAAATGAATGGCTTATTGTAGGAATGAACGTAACTTGGTTATTAAAAAAAGAGTCAAGTTTTTCATCATTGGCGTGAGAAAAACATTTTGAAGCAAAAACAACAACAAAACAAAAATAGGAGAAATGGGTATGGTTTTTGATGATAGGCACTGAATGGTAGGCATTGTTATGTCTTTGTAAAAAGTATAACTTGCTTTTATAGTACAGATATAAAATATAGAAATATTTCTTCTGAATGTATAGAATATATTATTCTTTAAATTCCTAAATACATTTCAATGTAACATATTTCTCAAGTTGAATACATTTCAGAAGCAGTCATGGGCTTTTTATTGTAGCTTCCATCACATTTTAGTAGTATTACTCAGCTCATGGTGCTGCAAAGAACAATATTGATTATTTATGGCATGGTGACAGAATTAAAATTAATTAATGTCAACTTCTGAAAATACTGAAAAGGAAAAACAAGATTTTCTTATCCCTTGGGAAAGGTAGGGAAAAGAATGTTTTGTTTTTTTGTGGGGAAAAATTGTGATTTTACTTTATGAATACAGATATTTAAAGCATACTGAAAAACTGTTTTAATTGACAGAAATAGTCAGTGAATCTATATAAATTTACAGAGGTTGGAAGGACTGAAAACAGTAATTTTACTCTTTCTGTATTGAGTCGAAAGTGTAAAAAGTTAAAACTGTGGAACTGAAAGAAATGCTGTGTATGCTGGGCTGTCATGTTAATTAAATAAACAACCAGAACAGTGACTCTGTGTATGAAATACATTTTGAAAAGCCTGGGGGGAGGGGGTTCAGGCAGGCAAGGGTGAGTGACATTGGCCTGAAAAAACATTCATTATATCTGTAGTGACATTTGTGTGAATTTGCTGTATTCTATTAGAAAATTCAGCTCTAAGAATAATTTCTCCAGGGCTCTAGTTGAATAAAGGCTTTACCAAATTTAATTTTACTTCTATTTTAAGCAAGTTCTCATTTATTACATTGAGGTAGGATATTTATAAACCTCAAAATTAGGAATATGCCTCTATATTATATCTTAAGATTTTCCATTAATATGGTTTGTGTCAGTAACAGCCTAATAGAGTCTATGTCGACTTCTTGAAAACTTGTGTTGTTTAATCTATCAAAAGAATGAGTTTATTTGGGAATTAAGGTGGGAGTTCCATTTTTCAGAAAAAGTTATTGTTGTGAGTTGTACCCTCCTGGATGGGTGAAGGTAATCAATGCAACTATTGTGTCATGTAGTATTCGAAGAGATTTTGCCATGCTGAAACAGTGCCTTTGCATTGGGCCATGGGGAAAATTTCTTATGCTTTGTGAAATGATGCATAACCCTACATGTTTATGGTGAATTGTTTGCTTAATTATCATGTGTCTTCTGTTCAGTGGGGGCTTCCTTCTTCTTCTGTGTGATGTTTATAATTGTATCTTCTAAAAAACCCTCAAATATATTGAAAACCCAATTTATGCTTAGTTTCTA